CATTACAGTTTAGTTAACCTAATCAGAGACATGGACTTCTGCTTTATCTGAGACTAAGCAGAAGGGCCCTCAAGAAGATGCTGTTACAATTGCACTACTGGGTATTTACCCCAAAGGTACAAATGTAGTAATCTGAAGGAGCACCTGCACCCCAATATTTATAGCAGCCATGTCCACAATAGCCAAACTATGGAAAGAGCCCAGATGGCCATCGACAGATGACTGGATAAAGAAGATGGGGTATATATATACAATGGAATATTACGCCATAAAAAAAAAAAAGAAATCTTACTATTTGCAAGGACGTGGATGGAACTAGAAGGTATTATGCTAATCGAAATAAGTCAATCAGAGAAAGACAATTATCATATTATCTCACTGATATGTGGAATCTGAGAAACAAGGCAGAGGATCATAGGGGAAGAGAGGAAAAACTGAAACAAGAAGAAACCAGAGAGGGAGACAAACCATAAGAGACTCTTAATCTCAGGAAACAAACTGAGGGCTGCTGGAGTGGAGGGGGGTGGGAGAGATGGGGTGGCTGGGTGACGGACACTGGGGAGGTTTTGTGTTGTGGTGAGCACTGTGAATTGTGTAAGACTGATGAATCACAGACCTGTATCCCTGAAACAAATAATACATTATATGTTAATAACAAAAAAATAAAATAAGAAGAGAATCCCTTAAGCTTGACACCCACCTTGAGCTATTGGATTATTTGAAGTTGGACACAAAACAATGTACTCTACTCCACTTATTTATGCCATTTTTTAATATTTATACCTGAATTGTGCAGATAATAACCTGTACGTTTCTGACTATAAATTACTCCTCAATAAAAAAAAGAAAAATGAATTTTAAAAATCCAACTTCAGGGGCACCTGGTTGGCTCAGTCGTTGGGAGTATGTGGATCTTGATCTTGGGGTAAGTTCAAGCTCCACATTGGATGTAGAGAGTATTTAAAAAAAAAAAAAAAATCTTTTCTCCCCCCAATAAAATCCTTAAAAAAAAAAAAAATAAAAGAAGATGCTGTTGGGGGCGCCTGGGTGGCTCAGGTCATGATCCCAGGGTGCTGGGATCGAGCCCCACATCGGGCTCCCTGCTCTGCGGGAAGCCTGCTTCTCCCTCTCCCACTCCCCCTGCTTGTGTTCCCTCTCTTGCTGTGTCTCTGTCCAATAAATAAATAAAATCTTAAAAAAAAAAAAAAAAGATGCTGTTAAAGGGCTTGTAACAGGAGCACTATGTTGCCTCCCTGCCACCAGTAGATTTATACTTCCTTCCTTCTAAAATTCAATGAAGAATTTATATGTATGTACCTGCTTAGCTGTTTTCTTTTTCCAGTAATTTTTATCCTTTTAAGTTGCCTACGTGTTAGGGGAAAAATACCACATCTTAATTTACTTTCTTTTGTTCCCATAGAAAAAATATTAATGTATTATATCTTTTTTCTGTCAGGGATTTAACAGTAAAATTAAATAATTACTTTAAACATAGAGCAACATGGCTAAAGAAAGACATCTAATATTTAAAATCCTGTAAGATACCATCCCATAAAGAATTCACATAATGAATCTCTTAGGAATTTCTTTCAGCCTTATTTGAAAAGATCCTAAGTTACTTCCTAAGATGAATGATTATACTGATAATGGATATACAATATTGATGTCTCCTTCATATGACAGCAGAAAAAATATTTAACTGACAGCCACCAGATGAGGATTCTAGTTCTGCCACTAAGTCTAGCTGTCAAAACGTGTGCAGACTAACCTCTCTGAATCTCACTTCCAAACCAATGAAGGAACTGGAGAATCTCTAAGAATGCTTCAAACGCTAAGATTTTATTAATTTTTCAGACAGGCAAACAAAATGCCATATATTATAAAATACACTGTGCGAAGCACACTAACTAGACTTTTAGCTATTGCTTTTGAGGGTAACTCATATAGTCAAAATAATATATGTTTTGGTTATGTGGATGTGAACATGGATACATGTAAACTCAAGGAATCTGGCCAACTTTATTACACAGTGTAATTCAGGAGATGTGATGCCTTATAAAAATTAACTGCTGAATATTGTGTTGAGCAAATAGCTCACAACTGAGCAAATAGCACTCAGCCAACTCTGCTAAAAAGAAAAAAAAGTGCCACCTACCTGGCGAAGTACAGAGAAGTGGGTTCTCACTTGTATTCATTCGCATCTAGATCTGACTATGAAATTGGGAAGGCACCCTTTAAACTTCAATGCTCACCTTCATTCATACTGAGAAAACCATGTATAGAATGAGCCTTAACAGGAATACAGCACAGTGCAAATAATCTGTGACCCCAAAACCTTTATCACTCAATGTAAGGCTACTGAAAGAATATGGTTTCAACTGATTTACATTAACAAAAGCACATAAAGATTTTCTTAAAATTAGCATTACAAATTGAATGCATGGCAAAGTTGAATACCCAAATGCAAAACTTATAGTCCTTTCAAGCAAGATTAGGAGTCTAATCATAATGTATGAATTTATAAAAGTATATGACTCAAAATCATAAAGCATTAATCATATGGAGTTTGAGACATAGTGGGTCATCAAGATACTTGCTTTCATACATGATATAATTAACTTTGAGCTTTTTGCTTGAAAACTTATCTTTCTATTTTGTGAACTTTAGAAAATCTGGCCAAAACCAATGAATTAAATTACTTCACGTTTATGGGTATTATAATTAATCCTTAAAAAAAATTAAATCCATAAAAAACCCAGAAAACAATATGGAAAATTTAGGCTCAGTCATCACATCACATATAAAGCTACTATTATCTGTGCCCAAATTAAGGGCAGTGCCCAAAATAAAGGAGATTACTGATGACCGAAGCAAAACCCATTATACAGTGTCCAACACTCAGATACCAGGTCCTCCACAGCAGAAATACAATATATAGGTGAGATTACATCTGATTGCCCTCCCACAACTGTGAGAGCATCTCGAGTCTCACTAAAGGCATAACAAGTAGTGGTGCTCAGCTACCTCTTTCTTGAGTCCCTGATAATGCAAAGACAATGTTTAGCAGAAATTACAAGAAACTATTTTTTTTGTGGAAAGGCTCATACAAAGGCTTTCAAATTGCTCAGTGCAGCTCTTTGAGGGGCAAGGGATGGGGGAGTGTTAATTAAGGGAAGCAGCAGGCCCAGCCTGTGTTGTCCAACACACATGTCCAGTCAGAAATTCAGAACCACCTTCCTGCAGGCAGTTAATTTTGATTCGACCCAGTAATAATGGAGCATCTGAGAAAAATTTAAACCTTGATACTGCTAATATTCATTAATGAATTATCTAGCAGCACTGTTAGATTATTTATAATTTAAAAAGCTTTTTTTTTTCTGTTTAGGAGACATTAATAATCATTATTATTATTATGTGTGCTAAGGCCAGCTGATGACAAATTGGACCCAAAGGAGCAGTAATTTAGAGAAGATAAAAGGAGAAGAGAAAACACCAGTAGACTTTGGAGTAAGCAAGGAAATGCTCATCAGAACAGTAATGGGAAATAATAATTCTGTGTAGTGTGGCAGGATCATTATATGACCATAAGCAAAGAGAAAACATTGACAATGACAAGAGAATACGGCTGGTATTGAATCAGGTTATAAAAACTTCTCAGAATGTTAAAAAAAAAAAAGGAAATAAATGACTCAGAACAACAATCCCGTAGTTTTAAATGCAAGTGGAAGAAACCATTCTTCCTTATTCAAGATCATAACTGCTAACACAACTATGTACCAAAACCCTCTGGACCTTCTGAAAAAGTGTGCTATACATTCACACTGCTTCTGAGAGTGAGAGACAAATGTCCTTTCTGGGAACTGGGCTGCCTTTTAATATTTACTTTACACGAAATCCCACCTTACTGTGACCCTGGTGCCGGCACCGGGAGGCCCACTGCATGGGGGTCAGAAGGCCCGGTTCAAGCCACCTCACACCTGGCCTGCTCAGTTATGAAGTTCGAATGATGTCACATACATAAACTTTACTTTGGAGACCCCAAGATGCCAAACCAAAGCAGAGTACTCGTGGTGGCACCACCCAAACAGCACGCTGCTAAGTCTCTCTGGCACTCGTGCCTGCACGCACACCGTGTACATGCGTCCCGCAGAATCTTGAAAATCCTAACAACTAATTCTAGCTCACTTTTACCAAGCACTAACTATGTGCTGGGCACCAAGCCCTTTTCATACATGATCTCATTGAATCTTCACAGGAGCTTTATTGAGGTGGGAGCCGCCCACTCACCAGCTTTCCCATTTTGCAGCTTGCAGCTTGGAAAAATCAAGTAACTGGCCCCAGATTTAACAGAGCTGGCGGACGTGGCTCCTGAGCACACGCCCCGTCTCCTCGCACAGCCCCTGACCAGGGCAAGCACAGGGTGAAGAAGCTCCCAATGCTGCTGCCATTGTGCCCCTTCTCCAGCAAACCCCAGGGACGCCTCTGTTCCTGGGGGAACTACTTGTGTTTCCAACACCCGCTAAGACACTAACAAGTAAATTTTCGACTTAGGAAAAAAAAAAAAATCTTCTATATATCAATAAGCAAAGAGGGAATACAGAAAGAATATACCTCTTTTTGTTATACAGTCGGCAAAGAGAAATTGGAAGCTTCAAAAAAATTCAGTATCTTTTGGCTGTTCTTATTCAAATTGGATCACCTTTATCAGTTTAGTCCTTGTTTGGTGGAAAGCAAAGCAAAGGAAAAGTAAAAAGCATTGTTCAGAAAGCAAACATAACATTCTTTAGGCATTTTAGATGAAACCAATGCCAATGAAGTGCAGATGTGAAACCAGTGATAAATGAAGAAATGCACAGTGAATGATAAAAAGAAGATTCAAAAGGTTCAAAGCCAGGGTTAGGTTCTTTGTTTTTAACTATCAATTAAAATAAAAGTCATCTTCATCACAAAAAGTGTGGTACTGCCATACAATGTACCACCCCCAAATAAAATAAACTTACCTTTGGTTTTTTGATCAGCAGCCTGAAAAAAAAAAAATCAGAAACTCTTTAGGAATAATAATGTGTAGAATGTGCATATCTATGAAAGTTTATAAGCAGATTTTAATACTGGAAATTTTAAAAACAAGTTTTTGCCCAATTTATTAAAATTTATTACAGGGAAAATGTATAATTGTCTACATGCTATTACATGCCGATATTGATCTAAAGGCCAAAAAAAAAAAAATCTATCCGGAAGCTCATCAGAGCTCTGTATTTTAATATAAACTAAAAGGTACACAGTTTAAATTACAAGGTATGTTAAACTAGGCAAGACCAACAAAAAATTGCCTAACTTGGTATATTAAATGAGGTAAGATTTAAGTGAGATGGTAAGATTTACAGAAGGACTTTTAATTTTTAATAACAATAGGATTTATAAAAGAACATTTGCCCAAACCTGCAAAAATTATTTCTAGCTTTCCTAATAAAATCAGTTACATGGCCCTTTTCCTCATTTCTCAGACATGGTTGTTCTGGACAGTTCGCAGTAAGTGGAATAGCACAGACATTCTTAATCACCAAAAACAAAAATCAGACTTCTTTAAAACACAGCTCTACTATTTGTAGTTCCTTAAGAAAGACATTCTGTGGCTGTCACTCTGTATTTATTTCGCTAGCACAACATCTATTTTTTGCTAATTATAGCTTTAGCACATTGATATTTTGAGGTCATAAAATGGAACTCTAACCTAATGGCTGTGACAATGCAAATGAGACACACAATGATCACAGGCAGTGAAGCAGGAATGCCATCCAAACCTTTTTCTGAGCACCTTCCTTCTTTTTCTTTTCTTCCTGCTTTTTCTTTTTCTTTTCTTCCATCAAACGTTCCTCTTTTTGTGTTTCTTGTTCTTTCTCCCTATGAAACAAAGAAAGGTGGCATTGGTATAAGGTCCATTTAAAATCAAACAACGAAAAAGCATTAGCTGCAGGGAGTTTTAGGTCAGGTTGGGTTTCATGCGAAGTACTCTAAAGGGCACTCTGAGAAGGGGCAAGAAACATGGGGCACTTCTCTAGGGCCACCACTTCTCGGGGTGGCCCTGACCGAGTCAGTGCTTCCGGGGTCACTCATTCCGCCCACGTGTCGAACACCATGCTTCTAGCAGGGAGCAAGTTAGGCAATAAGGGGACAAAATGGAGTAAGACACTGTTCCTACAGTCCAGCCCCAGACCCACATCTCTCCTTGTGGTCTCAGGGGCCACACGGTCAGCATCCTCCCGACTACCTATTAAAAACAGATTCCTGGGGAACCTGGGTGGCTCAGGTTATGATCCAAGGGTCCTGGGATCAAGCCCCACATCCAGTTCCCTGCTCGGCGGGAAGCCTACTTCTCCCTCTCCCACTCCCCCTGCTTGTGTTCCCTCTCTCACTAGGTCTCTCTCTGTCAAATAAATAAATAAAATCTTTAAAAAAACCACAAAGATTCCTGGGTTCTGCCCTAACCCAACCAAATCAGAATCTTTGGAGGTGATTCTCAAGCATTCTGTAATTATATGTTTGCTTGAAAAACCAATTATTATTTTTTTTTAGATTTTTTCCCCCAAGTTTTAAATTCCAGTTAGTTAACACCCAGTATAATACTAATTTTAGGTGTAGGATTTAGTGGTTCAGCACTTACATACAAAACCTGGTGCTCATCATAGCATGTGCCCTCCTTAATCCCCAATACCCATTTGACCCATCCCCTGCCACCTCCCTCCAGCAACCCTCAGTTTGTTTTCTTTTCTTTTTTTTTTTTTAAAGATTTTATTTATTTATCTGACAGAGAGAGACACAGCGAGAGAGGGAACACAAGCAGGGGGAGTGCGAGAGGGAGAAGCAGGCTTCCCGCGGAGCAGGGAGCCCGATGCGGGGCTCGATCCCAGGACCCTGGGATCATGACCTGAGCCGAAGGCAGACGCTTAATGACTGAGCCACCCAGGCGCCCCCCTCAGTTTGTTTTCTATAGTTAAGAGTCTGTTTCTTGGGGCACCTGGGTGGCTCAGTTGGTTAAGCAACTGCCTTCGGCTCAGGTCATGATCCTGGAGTCCCGCATCGGGCTCCCTGCTCAGCGGGGAGTCTGCTTCTCCCTCTCCCGCTCCCCCCTCTTGTGCTCTGTCTCTAAAATAAATAAATAAAATCTTTAAAAAAAAAAAAAAGAGTCTGTTTCTTGGTTTGCCTCTTACCCCCACCCACCCCATGTTCATCTGTTTCTTGAAATCATAAGGGATTTGTCTTTCTCTGACTTATTTCGCTTAGCATAATATTCTAGCTCCATCCACGTTGTTGCAAATGACAAGATTTCATTCTTTCTGATGGCTGAGTAATATTCCATAGTGTGTGTGTGTGTGTTCACACACACACACTGCAACTTCTTTACTCAACGGACATTTGGGCTCTTTCCATGGTTTGGCTACTACTAAAAATGCTGCTATAAACATCAGGGTGCATGTAGCCCTTCAAACTAGTATTTGAGTAAATACCTAGTAGTGCAATTGCTGGATGGCAGAGTAGTTCTATTTTTAACTTTTTGGGGAACCCCCACACTGTCTTCCAGAGTGGCCGCACCAGTTTGCATTCCCACTAACAGTGGGAATGGGCATCCTTGCCAAGAGAAAGCAATTATTTTTTAAATAAAGATTCCTACATGATATGTTTGTTTGAAAGAGCAATTTTTTTTAAGTAGGCTCCACGACCAGCGTGGAGTCCAACACAGAGCTTGAACTCACGCCTGATATCAAGACTTGAGCTGTGATCAAGAGTCAGATGCATTAAACGACTGAGCCATCCAGGTGTCTCAAAGAGCAACTAATTTTTTTTTTTTTTTTTTTTTTGCGAGAGAGAGCAAGCGAGCATTGGGGTGGGGGGAGAGGCAGGAGAGGGAGAGAGAGAATCTTAAGCAGGTTTCACGCTCAGTGTGGAGCCCAGTGCGGGGCTTGATCTCAAGACTCTGAGATCATGACCTGGGCTGAAATCAAGAGTCGGACGCTTCACCAACTGACCCATCCAGGCACCCCAAGAGCAATTAGTTTTTAAACAAAGATTCCTACACAGCACGGTGAGCTACTCTAAGGATGCGGGGAGCACAGCACAGAGTAACACCACTTAGAAGGGTCAGGCAGCCTGTAAGCTAGGGCTCAAACACTACATGAGCATTTCGCTGGCATGGGGTGGTGTGGGTCAGATACCAATTTACTGCTGGGCAACTCCAAATTCAACCTTCAACACACGCTCTGCGGTCAACAGGCAGTTCCTTTAAGTCTTTCTCCTTTCCAGGGAGCACAACTGAGCATGTAGCTGTGAGGACACCAGTGATGACTCCAGCCATGGGCCAGAAAGGGCAGTCCCTCAGCAACCTTGCACCACATGGTCTAGTGTCACCTGCCCGCGACCCTTTCAACAGACACTGTGTGCTCTGGGCCTCCTGCTGCTTGCCCTACCCCTACACTCATCTCTTGTGGTCCTGCTGATGACACAGCCCTTCCGACTGGGACCCTGCGTGCCCCACACCTCCTGCTGCGCTGATACTCCTACTTCCGCAGCACATCCACGTGGCTGACCATCAGCTGCAGCTTGCCACCAGGAGGGCTGCCCCCAGAGCCCCGCTGCCTGCCGCCTGTGTGGCCCTGTGACCGGCCCCTGGCCGTGGCTTTCCTGAGCCAGTCCTGTGCTCTGGAGGGCTGCTTCCTGCTGCCCGGCAACTGCAGGCTCACTGACATGGGCAAATCACGGAGGTGCTCTGCAACTCCACCTTCTTCAGCAAGTCTGAACCCCAGCCTTCCTTGGGGACTCTCCCTCAGCCCTAGATCCCACAGTTTCTGCAGTGACTCTTCTATCACAGCTTAACTATTTATTCTTTGTAAGAAACTTTCCCTGTTTACATTACCGTGTGCTTTTATCACCTGCCTGGGCCTAGACTGATACAGGTGGGAAAGACTAAACAGAAGGAACAGCATGCACAAAAGCCTCAGGAAAATATCATCCATATACATATTAATGTTGTCTTGAATTTACTGATTTTGAGGTTTTTCATTTATAAATGTGTTTTATATACAACTACACACACATAAGGAATTTCAACCTGCTGTCAGTTTGTACATATTTAAACACTATCATAATAAACATAATTTAAATCAATATGGTGTGTGGCGGGGGATACATAGGGAATATTGTTCCTTTAAAACAGTGGTTCTCAGGGGCACCTGGGTGGCTCAGCTGTTAAGCGTCTGCCTTCAGCTCAGGTCATGATCCCAGCGTCCTGGGATCGAGCCCCGCATTGGGCTCCCTGCTCTGCGGGAAGCCTGCTTCTCCCTCTCCCACTCCCCCTGCTTGTGTTCCCTCTCTCGCTGTGTCTCTCTCTGTCAAATAAATAAATAAAATCTTTAAAAAAATAAAACAAAAAACAGTGGTTCTCAGTCTTGGCTGTTTCATCAGAATTACCTGCGAAGAAATTTTAAAAACTTCCAAAGCTAGGGCTGCCACTCTATCCCGCACAATCTCTCAGAGTAAAATGCAGATGTCAGCAGTTTTTAAAGCTTCCGGATGGCTCTGATGTTTCGCCGAGGTTGAGAACACTGCTTTTAAAGAAATTCAGTATGTTTATCAAGTTTGGAAAATGGTGATCACTCATTATCTCAGAAGACACTTTCCAGGAATATGTTCACCCAGGAAATCTGCGTTTAAACATTCTTAAAATGCATAGGCAAGCCTGTGAGTGATGGGTGGTGTACACACAGTGGAGCTACAACCATCATGCTGCTGCCACAAATCTTGGAAAAAAGCAAATAAATAAAAACCAAGTAGTGACTGCCCTCCTCTACCGTTATACTTTCTTAACCTACAGTACAATGAAAGCCTTAAATTATCCTCAGATAGTAAACTTAACAAAATAGGCAAGTATAGGTGCATCTTTAAAAGGCATTCCATTGCAAAAACTAATGATGTACTACATGTTGGCTAACTGAATTTAAATTAAAAAAAAAAAATGAAAAAAAAATTACCCCCCCAAAATAAATAAAAGGTATTCAATTGAAGATAAAATAAAAATAATCACTTAATTCTATTGCTCTGACAATTAAAGTAATTAGAGCTGCTACTCCCCCAGCAGTATAGTCAAGGTTTTACTATACAGTAAAATAAAATTTTGTAAATAAAGAAGACTATGTAGCCATGAGCTATCTTAAGCCTTGCTTGTCTGAGCTCATGTTTATATGACAAAGCACAATTCAGATGTATGCTCTTTAATAAAATTTTATCTAATTTCCCCCAACTGACAGTAACTTTCCAGTACAGTTTCTGCCATTTCTCACTAATAATTTTTTAAAAATAAACATCGAATCACATTTTTACTTTAAAAAGAAAAACATCTTCCGTAAGCATCCTTTCTTTCGAAGGGACACCTTATTCCCTGAAATGATCAAGTAATACTTAATAAAATTCTGTCTACCTTTCAGGGCTAGTGAGAAGATTAGAAACTTAGATTTGGAGGGGCACCTGGCTGGCTCAGTTGGAAGACCATGTGACTCGATCTTGGGGTGGTGGGTTTGAGGCCCACACTGGGTGTGGAGATTACTTAAAAAAAAAAAAAAACACACTTAGACTCGGAAGTTTCTTGACCCATTGGAAGAGAAAAAAACTAGTGTATCAACTCTACAGCTGACACTTGAACATCCTGGAGGTTAGGGACACTGACTCCCCAAGCAGTCGGAAATCTACATACAACTTTTAACTCCCCCCAAACTGATACTAATAATCTGCTACTGGCCAGAAGCCTTACTTATCACATCAACAGACAACACATATTTGTATGTTATTATGTATTATATACTGTATTATTGTAATAAAGTAAGCTAGAGAAAATAAAATGTTAAGAAAATCAT